TATATATCACAAATGATTTGAGTGTGAAATGGAAATCTTAATTACAGCGCTCTTCGAGTCTTTAATGGCTTAGCAACCATACAGTGAGAGTTGTAATTACTTTATACAACACAACTCATAACCACCTATTATTGTTCGTAAACCAAGCACATGGGAAGGTCATTAGGGTTCATCATGCACCATTATACTGTTCCACATATTGAAAGCAATCAGCAATAATCACCTATGGTCATGCTCATAGGTCCTTGGGAAACTTGTACTTATAACAATTGATCTGTCTAAAGATTTTAGTAGCCATTATTCACTTAAAGTTTGTGAGTAAAAGGATGATTCATGATGTTTACAACACATGATCCTTTCAGGCTCCCGCAAATCCGAAGTTTCGGGGAAGGATTCTTAGATTATGGGTCATCTCAAAAGATGATAGACTTTTATAACAAACATTCTTACTAGGACTACAATGGAACTGAGTGATGTCGATTATTATATCATTCAAGTTCATTCATTTATTTTCTTATTAGGTTAGACGAGTTTGAACATGATGCGAGTCTTAAAATATTGTTCAAATTTATTTATTAATTGTTTTATCCAGTTTGAGCTGAAACCAAGCTTTAATTATCCCTAACTAATTATATATTTGATGCTAATAATTTAAATGTATATCTTAATTACCAAACATACTTTGACTTATAAATTTTAATTATTATGTGTTATTTAAGTTGTTTACTATAATAATAAAATATTTAAATATAATTATTTGATATTTTTATCAAATATTTACATATGATAAGGACCATTGTGAACTTGTGTAAGAACCAAGAATTCTGGTATGCAGATTTGGCCAAGCTTGGAACCACCTTTGTTGGTACAGTATGAGTTGTTCCAAACTAAGCCTGGGATGAAGAATTAAGCAGTTATAACTATTCTTTTCTTTCGTTTTTGATTGCTTCATGATTTGAGCATTTCCCTAATCAGCTTCAGAAGGTCTATTTGATTGCAGCTTTTCTTCAGATTTCTTTTGTTATAAGAATTTATTTGATCCATTCTTCTGTTAAGGATTACTTCTATATTTGGAAATTTTCTTACTGCAGATCATTTTAGTGCCATAGATTGATTGATTTCTGTTTAATCTTTAACCTGTTTGTGTTAGCGTCTTATACATTTATATTTGTTTTTCCAGCAGGAAGAAGGAGATGGAGCATTTGAGGAAGCTACAGAAAGAGAAAATTCTGGGAGAGAGAATGTTCAATTTGGTGAGACAAATTCCCATCCACGTATTATGTTTGATTGCTTCTGAAATCTTCATTAAAAATTTAAGTTCTTCAGAACATTTCAAAGATTTTTTATAGACGTTTTGTTGTTGTGCTTCAGAAGCTGGAAGCAGCAGCAATATGGCCCCTTCAGGCAGGGGCGAATATCCAGCTGATGAAAGTGCTTTATCAAATTTGGCGGACTATTGCGAGATGGTTCAAGGCATAGAACTTAGGCAAGTAACTAGCTCTTCTTCAGTACCACCAGAAGGAACACCAAGCTTTACCTGGATAAGCGAGGAGGAGGAAGAAGAAGAAGGCGAAATAAGAGAATTTGTTGTCAAAAGAGCACCAAGAAGTGCACCAAAAAGAGGACCATCCCGTGGCTGGATAAGCGAGGAAGAAGAAGACGACGACTAAAGACTCTGGAGGCCATTGTCATGAATTTGAGTACTTCTTTTGCTTCCATTTTCTAGGTATATGTAGTTTCATAAATGATTTTACAATGAGTATCTGGCTGCTAAGAATACAGATGGTAAGACCTTATGAACATCAGTTTAATTTTAAAATATGTTTGTTTAGTATATTTTTTTGATTATTTTTATTTACTTTTTTAAAAATAATTTATTTTTAAAAAGACTCAAATTAACATTTGGTTGTTTGAGTTTTTTATAAAATAAGTAGTGTTGTTGAAGGGTTGTGGTTGTTAGTTGCCAGTAGCCACCAATGCTGGCTATCATTGAAACCGTATGGTTAATGCTAGCTAGTCGCTACTGTGCAAATAAACAATGAAAAACAGAAAATCATACAACCAAATACAATAAACAACACGATGTGATTTACGTAGTTCAATGAAGAATTGCATATGTTCACGAGAAGGGGATGATTTCACTATGATGGAGAAATAGAGTTACAATCGCACTCATGCACATCTTACAATAGCCTTGAAATCTCAATATATAGACTTGAAACAAAAACAAAAGTGGAAAATCCAGTCAATAATTGGATCTCCTAATTAATGCTTTCCTCATCAAAGCCAATAAAAGCTTTATAAATTAGAGCTGAAGTAGGTATGGAAAGATTTCCATAACAATTTTCATCTCATCATTCACTTCAGTGCGTAGACCTACACCTATCAATACCACCAACATAATCGGAGTTAGTGTAGCCTACACACAAATTAACAACAAATGGTTGTCTCTCAAACACCAAGTCTACATCAATTGTACCCTTCAGATATTTCAGAATACTCTTCATAGTCTAGCACAAACCATAACGTACATCAGACTACCAACTGCACTAGCATAAGGAACCAATTGCATATCTTTCCTCATTTGATCATCTTTAGGACACTGATCTGAACTCAATTAGAAATGAAATGTAATTGGTAGACTTATAGCGTTGCTTGAGTCATCAACCCTAAACTTTTTCAGCACCTTTCAAATATAAGCTCCTTGTGAGAGCCAAACCTTCCTAGCTGTCTTGTCCCTAAAAATCCATATGCCAAGAATTTTTGCAAGCTTCGCCCAACTCCTTCATCTCAAAATATTTGAAAAGTTTCTTCATCATCCTATTGATCTTAGTCTGATTAGTACATGCAATCAACATGTCATCAACATAAAGAAGAGAAGGTAGATGAACTCACCATTGATCAATTTTTTAAAAATATCCATAATAATCATAGTGGCTCTTTGTGTACTCCTCTCTCATTATGAACTAATCAAACTTCTTATACCACTGCCATGGTGATTGTTTCAATCCATATGAATACTTATCCAATCTGCAAACCATGTCTTTTGAGGCTCCATATCTAGGCAATTGTAACATGAAGATCTCTTTTTGCAATTTCTCAAGTAAGAATGCAATTTTTACACCGAGCTACTCCAGAATCAGATCATAGTGTACAACAAGTGCAAAGAGAATACGGATCGAGCGATGCTTAACCACTGGGGATAATACCAATTCATAATCAATCAATTACCGTTGCACAAAGCCTTTTATGACCAACATAGCCTTGTACCACACATCATCTCCATGAGTCCTTTATTATTTGCATATATTAATTTTCACTCAATGGCTTTTCTTCCTAGAGAAAGCTTCACCAACCTCGAAGTAACACTCGTCTAAAGAGACTCCATCTCTTCATTCATAGCCCTTTTCCAAAGATCACCATCTAGATTGTCCACTACTTCCTTGTAGTGATTAGGAATTTTAGCCTCCATGGTTAAAAGTGCAAATGCAATAAGATCCCTCAACCAAGTTGATTTTGGGATATTCTGGCACCTAGTCTTGCTTCTAGCAATAGAGTTTGAAACAATGTGGATTTAAAATTGAAAAATAATGGTGGATAGACTCATATTCAACCCAAAAATTTAAGCCTTAATGGTTGAAGACCAATCACTAGATAATTACACACCAATACACTGTCAAGTTCTATAATATAAACTAAATTCAAATCCTCATACATCTTAACAAATAGAATAAATGCATTAAAGAGGTAAAACAATATTAGAATGACAGCACGAAGATTAAACCAAAGAAAATAATAATTTAGCTGTTAATTTTACCACCACCTGTTCTTCCTTTTTGCTATCTTGGTCTTCTGTTATCTTATCTATTGCAAGCTTGTAATAATTTTCTTCAACAAAATACCAGTCAGCATCATTCTCTCCATACACCAGCCATCCAAGAAACCATCCTATAAATCCGTGTTTGCAGATATGAAAGACTGACTGGCAAGCAAAATAGAGGAAAGCCTGCACCTGTATGAGTTCTCTGATAGTATCGCCTATCAGCTTTTTCGAGAACCCGAGCGGAGTAAGCGCAGCAATAGCCCCATCCATCCGGTGAATTCCACCCTCAACGATTTCTTAGGAAAATTTCAATATATTTTCGTGATTTTATCAAGAAAAGGTGATTAGTGCGGAAATGATAGAGAAGAAGCGATCAAGGAGAGACCTTTCTTGTTCCTCTAGAAGCCATAGCCGGAGTTGGGAAAGAAACGCCGGCCAGAGACCGACGAGCAAGCACAGCGAGCAGCGGCAAGCTAGGTTTCCGTCGAGGGCTTGAGGATTCAACTTCCATGGGAGAAATGCGGGGAATGTGCGGGAATAGAACAAAACGAGAGCATTTTGAAAAGTTTGGTGGTTCGATTCTGGAAAGCGATTGTTAGAATCAAATTTATTTAAATATTAAATAATTAATTCACGAATACAAAAATTTCAATAATTTATTTCAATATAAATAATGAAAATTTAATTGAAATTATTTCTTAAATTTTCGATATAAATATTGGATTAAAATTTGTGCCGATCAAAAATGAAAATTAAAACGCATATCAAAGTGATTTTTAGTTTTTTACTAATATTTATAATATTTTAATATGAAATAAAGTATATTCCCTTTTATTTTTATTTCGTTTATTTATATTAATTAATTATTTTTAATTCGTTAATTCATTATTTTAATATTTAAATAAATTTGTATAACTTAATAATTTTATTTCATCTATTTAATAAATATAAGAGGGAAACCAAGTCCCCAAAATAAAAATCACCGATTCTAAGGGGATGTTTGGCAACAAGTGAGATTTAACTTTAATAGGATTTAGTAAATCCTATAAATATGAATTTAGTAAATCTAAAATATGTTAAATCCTAAAAACTGTTTGGTATGTCAAATGTTAAATCCCGTTAAATTCTGAGAAACTGTTTGGTACATATTTCAAGATTTATGATAATTATGGATTTAAATATGAACGGAAGTTACGACATTTTGATCGGAAGCAAGAACAGGAGCTCGCTAGCTGTGAAGGTAACTTTCTCCCTTTCGCGCGCTTCATCGGCTAAATCCCGTTAAATCCACCGAACCGAGGGATTTAGTAAATCCGGGATTTAAGCCGTAAATCCCGGGATTTAATGCGCGCACAAAAACCGTTTGGCTGGATTTAGCGTAAATCCGGCTTAAATCCCAACATAAATCCGATACCAAACAGCCCCTAACAATAGCTTTCCAGAATCGAAGCTCCCAAACTTTTCAAAATGCTCCCGTTTTGTTCTATTCCCACACATTCCCCGCATTTCTCCCATGGAAGTTGAATCCTCAAGCCCTCGACGGAAACCTAGCTTGCCGCTGCTCGCTGTGCTTGCTCGTTAGTCTCTGGCCGGCATTTCTTTCCCAACTCCGGCAATGGCTTCTAGAGGAACAAGAAAGGTATCTCCTTGATTGCTTCTTCTCTATCATTTCAACAGTAATCACCTTTTCTTAATAAAATCACGAAAATCTATTGACATTTTCCCAAGAAATCGTTAAGGGTGGAACTCATCGGATGGATGGGGCTATTGCTGCGCTTACTCCGCTTGGATTCTCGAAAAAGCTGATACGAGATACTATCAGAGAACTCTTACAGGTGATGTCTTTCCTCTGTTTTGCTTGCCAGCTAGTCTTTTTTATCTGCAAACACGGATTTATAGGATGGTTTCTTGGATGGCAGGTGTATGGAGACAATGATGCCGGCTGGTATTTTGTTGAAGAAAATTATTACAAGCTTGCAATAGATAAGATAATAGAAGACCAAGATAGCAAAAAGGAAGAAAATTTGGAGGTAACATCAACAGCTACATTATTATTTTCTTTGTTTTCATCTTCGTGCTGTCATTCTAACATTGTTTTACCTCTTTAATGCATTTATTCTACTTTTTAAGATGTATGAGGATTTGAGTTTAGTTTATATTGGAGAATTTGACAGTATATTGGTGTGTAATTATCTAGTGATTGGTCTTCAACCATTAAGGCTTAAATTTTTGGGTTGATTATGAGTTTATCCACCATTATTTTTATTCCAATTTAATTCCACTTTGTTTCAATCTCATATTAGGATAGTGATTTTGCTAAATTTGAGTGATTTAGTTTGTGGCTGTCATGGGTTTTGGTCAATTTTTATTCTGATCGAGCAAGGTTCAAGAACAAATAACACCTATGATGCCTCCATATGATTGAATGAGCTCTTGGTGTATTAAACTCGATATGTCTCCAAAAAGCGCCTTGATCAAGCTTGAATCTCAATGCATTTTGGAATTGAAAATTTTCAAAATTAAATTCAAGATCATCTAAACTCCGATTTCAACAAACTTATAGGCACGAAGGAGACAAAAAATGGTCCAATACAAGCCCGGGAGCCCAAATTAAGGGCTCAAAGTATAATTAGAAACTTCATGACATTAATTAGATGATCAAATAATCTTCAAATTTGGCATGTTTATAATTGAATCGAGCAGTTCAATGAAATGAATCCAACGAGGCTATTTTCACTTAATTTTGACATAATTAAGGCACTCAAATATTGTACGAATGCATTTTAATTAAGAGATTCAATATGGGTTCTTCGATGGAGTATTTCGGATTTTGTTCATCTTTACAGGCATGTCACTCTCAAAAATTTATAAATAAGCTCCCACTCTCTACATGAAGGGGGAAGAAGAGCTTAGACTTAAAGCTTAGACTTTGTCTTGAGATTTAAAGGAGCTTTGGGGCTTTAAGGATCCTAGATCATCACCTAAGCATTACTGTTTAGGGGTGTCAATATTCAACTTGACCTGAAAACCTGACCCGAACCTAAAAATTTGAGTTCAGGTCAACCTGTTTGGGAAACGGGTCGATTCGGGTTTAAAATTTTGACTTGATTGCAAATTTGGGTTGGATTCGAGTCAACACGGAATTGACCCAGTCCCGCCTACATAGCACCGTGACTCATCACTCGATTACAAGTAGTCGGCCGTTGTCGCCCAACTACCATCCTCATACCACCGTTGCCTGACAACTTCCTTAAACCACCGTTGCCAGACCACTGTCCTTGGACCACTGTCGCCTTACTATGACCCTCTGACCACAATCTGACTACGACCCTTCGACCTCCATCGCCTAACTACGGCCTTCCTACCTCAGTCATCTGACTTCATTCCTCTAACCACCCCTGCTTGACCCCGATTACTGTCCTTAGACCACGGTCATCCGACTACGGTCTTCCGAACATGATCGTCCAACTACGGTCCGCCGACCTCCATCATCCACCAACTATCATCCTCAAACCTCCGACCTGCAATCCTTTAAGCAGTGTCGCCTAGCTACTTTAGTGTCTATCATATTTATCACCTATCATCACCGATAATGTCAATACATGCCGACTCCCACTTCAGCATTAGGAGTTATGTTGTATGTTTGCCATAGATGTCTTCAAACTTCAACCATATGGCACATTCTTAACATTATCGCAATACAAGCACTAGTAGAATCATTTTAACTAGGTTAGGCCCTATGAATTTTCCTTTTCCTTTTCCTGAGTTTTTCACTTATAATTCTTGCACCCTTCTCTCTTATTTGTATGTGTTAGACCTTCATGCAAAGTTAGAATTCTTGCACCATTCTCTCTTATTTGTATGTTTTAGACCTTCATGCAAAGTTAGGACGTTAAACTTTCTATCTCTTTAATGCTGTGAATGTTGTAGCATGCAACAATACTTGATCATATTGAAAACCTTTGTTTGTGGAGAGTGAATTTTGACATGGAGAGCTCTCATGCGAAGAAGCGATTGTTTAGGCACTTGTGGCTTCAATTTTATTCTATTTCTGACAATTACAAAAATATTGATATAAAAATACTAAAGGGTTGATTCTCACCCATAAATTTAAGCTTGCTGGGACAATGGCGACGTCCGATCTTAATAATATTATAATAAGTTAATATAAAGAAGAACATGCTTTTGTACATGGATGAGGCTAGGACTAGAAAAGTTGCCTGGGTGGCAAATACTAGGCTTAGGATGCCCAGGAGCGGAACCACCTAGCCGCCAGGGGGGCAACCCCCTAAAAAAATTAAAAAATTGTTTATTCTATGGATATTTAGGTAATTTGTTCCCCTCCATCATTTTTTTTAGTCTTTATTATAGAAGTTTTTAGGAAATTGCCCCCCTAAAGAATTAAAATACTATTATCTTTAGTTGGTTGCCCCTTAGCAAAATTAAACACATTGTGTAGAGATATTATTTATAAATTTGCCCCCCCTAAGAATCAAGGCCGATTCAGCCCCTGAGGATGCCCGTAGGTGGTAGGTCCAGTGAGTGGCAAATTTACTATTTTGGACCAGTAGAGGAAAAGAACCAACATGCATGATTTAGAGACTCTTTCAGTTAATATTATTCTAAGTTTGCTTGATTAAATTATTTTTTCTTGGTTCTTATTATGGCATTTGGCTTAAATAAACCAACCAAATTGATTATTTTTTAGGGAAACTAAGAATTGTATATGAAAAATGTTGGATGAAGATTGAGAACATGAGCATTTACTATATATATATATATATACTTCCAATTAATGTTGGAGGCCAATTGATAGCTAAGTTTGATAGGTTTCAAGTGCATTGAATTTATTATGTGTTATAATGTAAACATAGATAACACAATTTCTCGAGTTAAAATTAAATTGATAAAAATATTGACGCATTTTATGCAATATTTATAATAATGAAATATCATATAAAATAAAAATACAACATCATCAAGTTTTTATCCCACTACGTGGGATCAGCTACATGAATCCTTTTTTCTCCATTGTATCCGGTTAAGAGTCAAATTCTCCTACAAAATAAAAAAAAAATTAATAAAATTATAGTTAGTTAAATTTTAATTAGACTACTTGTGAAAGGATTTGGCAGCTTCGGCTTTGGACGTTGTCATTCAACATGCCATTGTATTAGATCAGCTATATGTGCAAAAGATATCATGATAATATTGCAAGGAAAATATAAACGAGCAAGAAGATGAGAAACCAAATGCAAAAAATACACAAGCACATACTTGCATGATATTCTTGTGGTTTGGTGACATCATGTGACAACAATTGGGTGGAGATTGAATAATCCTTTTTATTTTCAAATTGAGTACTTGAAGGGATTAGATTTCATATAAAGTTGGAGATAAGAGCAGAGATACTTCTTTGCATGTCAATAGAATAGCTGAGAAAAAAATCCAATAGCTTAATCAGAATGAGAGTTGGATGTGGAGAAGATGCTACTGCTATAATTACTCAAGTTCTCTCTATATTATTATATTAGTGAAAATGAGAGCTGCACCCTAATTTTGTTGATAACTTGTTGCTTGAAACAACATCACCTCTTCCCTTCTAAAGATGAAAAATACCTCCTCCCCTACATGAACTCATTTTCTCTGTCTCTCGTGGTTGACATCCCCTCTTCACAAGAGATTATTGGGTTTGGACACTAGACACAGCTTACGTTCGTTATTCACAGTACCAAGCAGTACTGAGCTCAGTACTGTGAAGTATGATAGGAAATACTTGAGTTCGCAAGTAACCCTAAGGTAATACTTGAGTTCGCAAGCAAACCTAACCCAAATCGGCGAACAAACAGCAGCCAAATGGCTGTCCACAGCAGGAAAACAGCAGAAATCTGCTGTTTACAGCAGGAAAACAGCACTTATCCGGAAAAATATGAGAGAAAACTCAAGAAAAGACTTGTATTCCACTTAGACGATGAATAAAATAGCAAGATACAATTGATCCTCAATTCGAGAGGAGGATCGATCTCTCCCAAATCTCTGGCAACGCCAAAAGCCCAAAGAAAACCTAAATCTAAGAGATCTCAAATTTCAGCCAAATTCAAGATACTCAAACCCTAGGAAAATCAACTATTTAATGCATACAAATCAAAAGGAATTCCCTAAACAGTCCCTACATACAATTTCCCTCCTAAAATCCATTCAAAAACCTTCCTATTCGACCTTCTTTGATCCAGGCGAGCGTGCGGCTGAAACGGGAGGCGGAAGTTCCGCCTCGTTGTGGCTGGGCCGGTCCCGCGTGGACCGGCTGGACCGGTCTAACAAAGTATTGAGTACCAAGCAGTACTGAGCTCGGTACCGAGTAGTACCGAGCTCAGTACTGAGTAGGAGGTGATGTGGCGCATTTTCATTAGGCTCCGGATACGTTCGGTGTCTGAACCCAATAATTTGCCCCTCTTCACACAGACTCTTTTTTTTTTTTTTTGGATAAAATCCCACGGTAGAGGCCTACGTGTTAATACCAAAACAAAGTTACAAGTCTTTAAAGGTTCCAAAGCCCTCTTTAAATACAACAATTGAATCAAGACATATGGGCCTCTAAAAACCAACTAATTAAGCAAAGCAAAACAAAACAAAATCTAAAAAAACAGCCAGCAGGAGCCCCAAAGCTACCAGCAACCGGCCATGCTGCCTCCAAAACAGTTCCTGCGAGGTCAAGAATGACAAAAAAAGAGAGAGCATTTGTCACAGACACACACTCTCTCTCTTTTATTTCTGTGCTTGTTATTATGAAATGCCTAATCCATTTTTAAGGCTTCATTCATAGTGGTAACAAGACATGAGCTCTGTTGTAGGAGTCTGACTACCAGATTGTCCTTTATTCGACTGACAACTTGTTCTGTTGTTGGAAACGCCTCTTCCCTCTTGAAAATGTTGAAGGCCTCCTACTCGACAAGCAACTCGAAAACTCCATCTTCCTTTTCTATTTGGTTGACAGCCCCTCTCTCTCTCTCTCTCTCTCTCTTCTATTTATTTGCTTATTATTATGGGATATCAAATTCCTCTAAGTCTATATTTACAGTGGTAACAAGAAATAAGCTTGATAAAAAAAAAAAAGATATAAGCTTGATCATACAATATTTTCTAAATCTATACTTAACAGTGCTAACCAGATCTTTTAAGATCACTTCAAGTGAAAAAAATATTTCATAGCCCATAAAGTTTTTTGTAAATCTCTATCCAATACCTGAAACAAATATGAGAATCTCTATCACATCCTAAAGAGATCCGGTTTGGAGAAACTTTTTACTCCATAACTGGAACTAATATGTACTAGCAGCAGTGATAGCACAAAGTCAACCTATATAATCGCTGGTAGAGTGGGAAACAATACTAGCATCTGTGAAACATCCTATTTTTTTATCAGAACATCCTGATGAATAGAAATAGCGACTAAAGGCACTTCATGCATGGACAAAAAAAAAATCCTGCATCTCTCTCTCTGGATGAAGTGGAACAACATCAACATTTGTTTACAGAGAACTCCAATCAGAAGGCGGGGCATGAACTAGTCATCAGTTATTATTATGTATTGATCTGGTTTTAGATTAGGTTGATCCGCATAGACATCACACCATATATAAATGAATATCAATAGACATTATAGGCTGATGTAAAGAACCCCCTCGTAGTCGGGTTAACATTTCTGTATCCTATTTGTGTTAGCTTCTAGCTTCTATATTTTATTTTACTTTCCTTCAGGATGAAGGAAAAGCATCTGAGGAAGGTAGGACAACAGAAGCTTCTGGGCAAGCTCTTCTTCAGCTTGGTGAGACAAACTCCCATCCTTTTATTATGCTTCATTGTTTCTGAAATCTTCATTAAAAATCTAAGTTCTTAAAAACAGTTCAAAGATTTTTGATAGACTTTTGTTGTTGTACTTCAGAAGCTGGTAGCAGCAGCAATAGAGGCCTTTCATGCATGGTGGAATCTTCAGCTGAAAGGGCTGTAAGAAAATTGGGGGAACTTAGCCAATTAAGCCCTTCTTCGGTACAAAAAAGGAGACCGTGCTATGGCTGGATAAGCGAGGGTGAAGACTAAAAGTCTCAGGTGGCCATTGTCATGAATTAGAGTACCGTTGTTTCCATTTTCTTAGAGAAGAGCTTTTTGTAGTTCCATAAATGATCTTCCAGTGAGTATCTAGGAATACAAATGCCCAGGGCATATTTGCAGGCATCAAAATTTTTTTTTTAAATATGGGTTTTATTATTATTATTTTAATTATTTTTTTATTTTTAAAAAATAAATCAAATTATTTCTAAAACTCTCAAAAGTGAATTTTAAATACTTTTGAGTGTTTTAAAATAAATATCACCGATAACACCTATCTACTTCTAGTACTTGTGACCACCCCCACTAAGGTGAAATTATTACGTGCGATCACCGGATGTCGTCCCGAGACCAATTAGGATGAGCCACATGCCAATATGTTGTGTATTGTTACTGTGTATCGAGTGATGTGGTGCATTCTGATTGGCCACCAAACAGTATGGAGATCGCATCTAATAATCTATCCCCAACAAGGGAGTAATTGAATTGTAAATTCTTTTGTGCTCGTTTTGATCATAAAGATGGTAAATTTAAAGATGAAATTCTAAATAGTCTTGAGAAATTTTTAATTATGCTTATGATTGATTGCAATTGTACACATTTAAGCTTTGTTTGGTATGATTTATTTATTATTTTTTTAATTAAATTTTTTTTATAGAAAGCAGTAAGAAAGTTGCCCCAAATGAAACCTCAGACTATTTTTTTTATTGCTTTTTAAAATACCTTTTTAGTAAAAAAATTAAGCTAAAAAATTTTGTATTAAAAAGTTTCTTGAGAAAATAGTACCAGGTTTCGTTTGGGATAAATTTTTTACTATTTTATAAAATAATTTTCTAGTTTAAAATTTTTATATTAAGCTGTTTTATTAGGCAGAAAGAAAAATTATCTCATATAAAGCTTTAGGGACATCTTTCTTACTCTTTTTTAATATAGTTTTTCTTTTAAAAAAATGCTAAAAGGCTTTTTAATAAAACAATATGAAAACTATCCAAATGAAAATTTAAATTTGATATTTGTGATATCATGGGTTTATAGTATATTAAAAGGAGAAAAAGCCATTGTGTGAGGCTATGGACTTATATTCTACATTCTATTTTATATGTTAAAAGAGTTTAGATATTTTGATATAATTTTTATTATGATGGGTATGAATGTTATTGGATTTATTTTATAATTAGTATAATATAAATTAGTCAAAGTCCAGAGGCGCGTGGTCTTATTTTTGAGAAATTATTGTGTGCGGAGTTCAGATGAGAAGAATCATTCGAATTTATGAGCATGCACTCATAAGTCCGGATGATTATTTTCGTTCGTATTCCACACAAAATAATTTCTACCTATCTTGAGTGTTGTCCTTCACACATTTTTCAACTTAAGTTATTCATATAACATATTTCAAAATTAAATTTTATTATTCATGGTATTTGCTTGTATTTTTTTATTTTAATTAAATATATAAACGATATGTACGTAGCTCATCTTGATATATTGATTGTGTGTTTTATCTATCAATAAATAGGTCATGAGTTTGAAGTTTGTGTATGTGTGTGAATTTATCTTCATTGACTCAAAAGTCTCCAAAAAAAGACATATAAATGACATATCTAATATGGGTCGGAAGTAAGTTAAACAATTAGCGAAAGTTAACTAAGTATCATTTATGTGCTAAAACTAAGGCCTCGTTTGTGACAGCTTTCCTTCTACTTCTCAAAATGACTTTTTAGTATAAAAATTAAACATTTTGTATTAAAAAGCTGTTCTAAGAAGCATCAAGAAAGCCACCCCAAACGAAGCCTAAGTGTTCGTCATGTAGTTGTATACTGATAGTGAAAGATGAGGGGCAATGGTGTTGGGTTACAAACTACTAAGAGGGAGCGTTACATACGTTGATGAATGATCGTTATTAGTTGACAATTGACATCATATAGTAATTGATATGTGTCGATGTCAAGACTTGACGATTGATTTTGTTTGACTAACGAGAAGAAGAGTAGAGCTTTGAAAGAAGAGTAGAGCTTTGAATAACTCAACGATACAACTATACAACTAAGTGTCATGATTCAAGACCAAATGAGTTTAGATCAAACACTTAATGCATAATCAAAATTTATGATATTATTTACAATTGAATTAACAAACAATTTTCAAATATTACACGTTTTGGGTCAAAATGTGCATTTCTATAAGAGAAATCGAATGACCCCACAATAATTCAATTATTATTAAATTAAATATATTGAAATAATTGATTTATGATCAAAGGAATAAGCACTGACTATCCAATAGAGCTTTTAAAGATTATAGCAAAAATAATCAAAGTATCACTCATAAAATTTATAAATAGGTCTCCATTCTTCACATAAGAATGTGAAACTGTAAGTTATCATAGAATTTGAGAGAATTTTTTCTAACATTTGATGCCAATGATCAACTCCAATACATAACAATCATAATGACTTCAACACTCATTTCCATTTCTATCTATTTAAACTTATGTGATTCATCTTAGCATTAGGATGGCCCATAGGAATATAGCTGATACGTCATCGATCATGAAATTATCTTGATTGGGCACGAATCTCGAGCGAGGCAAAATCAGTTCGGAAACTTCAAAAATTAAATTCGAGAGCATATGAACTCTGATTTCAGCGAACTTATAGTCAAACTGAGCGTCTCGGAAATACAAATCCAACGACACCAAATTCGACCCAATCCGAGCCCAAATGAGTCCGAATCAAGGATCCGAAGCGCTGTTGGAAGGTTCAAACCGCGATTTGAGCTACCAAACGGTCTCTGATTTTAACGAGCTTATACTCGAATCGAGCGGCTCGACGAGACGAATCCAACGAGCCTAAGATCGCCGAATTCCGACATCATTAAGATCTTTAAATGCCCAACGAACGGTGCATGATCAAAGAATTCAATATCGGCCGTCCATTCAAAATACTCCCAATTCGCCCCTGATCTCACGCCTATTTACGGGCTATGCCACTCCAGAAAAACTATAAATAGAGCCCTCATTCTACACCAAAGGGACTCGAGTGAAGAGAGAGAAGAAGAAGAGAAGAAGGAGGAGAGCTCCTCCTCGACCACCGCCGGAGCTCTTCCTACCACCTGAAGACGCCGGAACTCTGCTGAATTTTCTGGAAACGTCGGGAATTTGCAGAACTTTGTAACTTTGTAAGAAGTTGATTGTAAACTGATCGTCTTGATTTGTAAGACGGATCAACTTTTGTACTCCATACAAACACTAGTGGAACTTTACAACTGGGCGAGTCCCCGTGGTTTTTCCCTTTTTGGGTTTTCCACGTAAAAACTCTGGTGTTCATTTCTCTTTTCTGTTTGTGTGCGGAATACTCGTGTAACGCTAAGACGAATATTTTCTAACTCTACTGCCGCGTATATTCTAGCACGCAACAATAGCATATATTTATTTAGCTTTAGTCATGCTTTCTGCAACTTTCTAGAAGATTCAATTCCCTTTATATAAACAGATTATCAGGAAGAAGAATATATAACTGATATTTTTGGATTATAACAGTTTCTACTGCTCTTTGATGTTCTTGCTCTTACGAACTTCCTTCTTCATGATTCCTCCCCACATCATAAACAAAGTGTTAAGCTCTGCGAGATGAGTAGTAAATATTTTAATCTATCATATATAAGAGAGTTGTTAAGTAAGACGATATGACTATCTAATATCATAATTGTTAAGAAGGATCACCTTCTCTGACATTTCGCAAATCACGTTCTCCCTGTCAAACGAACGTTTCCTGCTATTGGCCTCTAACGGACCAATCTGGTCCGTCCACGTGCTCTTTACTTTACAGTGTAATCATGATGGCATGTAATATAAAAAGCATGCTACAGTAAAGAGAAAGGAATACAGAAGATGAAGTTTACTTCAGCTATTTTCTTCTTCATTTCTTCCTTGTAGTTTTCTCTGCTTTTATCCTTGCAGGTCGGCTCAAACGTCTGCAGGACTTCAACATGGTATCAGAGCATCAGGTTCTCCATGCCAGGTTCTCAGCTATTTCAAGTGATTCGTGGTACTGAGTCCTGCTTCTTCTTCCAATGACTTCCCCGACAACTTCCTCTGCCTCTACTGCTGTGTCTACGGACAAAATCGCAAAAATGGCGGATATCCCTATTCCATCGCAGTTGAAGTTCTTAATGACGAATGTGAAATATGTCCTCAACATCCAGCTCACGTCTGAGAACTACCCCTTGTGGAAAACTCAGATACTTAAACTGTTCACAGCAAACGGTTTTGATGGCTACTTAGATGGTTCTATGTCTAAACCGCCAAAAATGATTGCATCTGCTTCCGGTGACCTGCAGTTAAATGCCGATTTTTGCTCATGGCTTCTTGTGGATCAGAACTTGGCAGCTGTGCTCTACTCTACTATTTCTCAGACATTTCTTCCATATGTCTTGAATTTAAATTCTTGTGCAGAAATTTGGGAGACTATAGAAAGGAGGTTACAATCCACAAATCACTCACGCATTCTTCAACTCAAAAATGAGTTACATCATATTACCATGAAGGATAAGAGTATGATGCAATATTTATCTGAAATTAAAAGTAAGGTAGATGCCATTGGAGCTTCTGGGTCATTTTTATCAACGGAAGACATAATATATTATACCTTGAATGGCTTACCTAGCCAATATCAAGGTTTTAAAATTGCTGTTCGGACGAACTTAAATCCCATTAGTTTAGATGACTTTTATTCACTGCTATGTAGTGAAGAGCTGAATCTGGCAGCCGAATCCGTTCGTGAGCTATCTTTATCTCCTTCAACCGATAATGTTTCTGCTATGTATGCTCAAAGAGGTAGAGCCCGTGGCCGTGGTTTTCGTGGCCGCTCTGGTGCTCGCTCTTCTCGTGGTCGCGGATCTGCTCGCGGCACATTTACTCCTACGCCTACCATCGAATGCCAGATTTGTGGTAAATCTGGCCACTCGGCTTATAAATGCTGGTACCGGGCTGATTTCTCGCTACCTCCTCCTGTTCAAGCCAATGCTGCGTCTCCACAGCTCCCTTCCACCGAGTGGCTGCTTGACTCTGGAGCTACATCTCACTTAACATTCGACTTTTCTCAACTCTATGACTCACAGCCATACACTGGACAACAACAAGTCATGGTCGGAAATGGTGATTTACTTCCCATTACACAAACTGGTAAAGGCTTATTACCCACTCCTTCTCGTAAGCTTCGCTTGAACCCTCTTCATTTTGTTCCTACTCTTCATCACAATCTTCTCTCTCTTAACAAGCTAATAACTGATAATGGTTGCTCTGTTCTTTTTGATTCGTCGGGTTATACTATAAAGGATCCGACGACCAATCACATACTCCTTCGCGGCCAAGCTCGTCACGGACTCTATCCAATCTTCACTGAATCTCCTTCTCCAAATACCGCTCTGGTTGCCGTTTCTTCCACCGAGTCTCTTTGGCATCGGCGTCTCGGACACCCTTCTTACAGAGTTCTACAAAAACTGCAAAAATATGTTTCTCCTCAGTTATCTTTTGTTTCTTCGTCGTTTCATTGTAATGCTTGTGAACTTGCAAAAAGCCACAAGCTTCCGTTTACATCGTCTATATCTAGGTCTAGTTCTGTTCTTCAGTTAATACACAGTGATGTATGGGGTCCGTCCTCTGTTATCTCTTTACAAGGATATAAATATTACATCATTTTTGTGGATGATTTCTCTCGCTTTTCTTGGCTATTTCCATTAACTGCGAAATCTGAGGTTCCTTTAATTTTTGTTCGTTTTCAGCGTTTAGTTGAACGACAATTCAATGCTAAAATTAAAATTTTTCGGTCTGATGGTGGGGGTGAATATACTTCCAAGCAATTTCAATCATTGCTTGCCACTTCTGGTATTGTTCATCAACTCACTTGCCCATATACTCCGGAACAGAATGGTTTAGCTGAACGAAAACACCGACATATAATTGAAACCACTCGTGCTCTCTTGTTTCATTCGAATATCCCTCAAAAATTCTGGATACATGCTGTCCAAACTGTGGTTCATCTAATAAACCGCCTACCCTCTCTGTCAAATAAACTTTCCTCTCCTTACCAAATGCTCTTCAATAAACCACCGGATTATAACTCTTTTCGTATTTTCGGTTGTCTTTGTTATCCTTTTCTTCCACAAGCTGCTCTTTCTAAATTTCATCCTAAATCTATTCCATGTGTTTTTGTTGGCTATCCACTTTCCTCCAAAGGCTATATCTGCTATAACATTTCCTCTGGCAAATTCATTGTATCTAGGCATGTTAAATTCCTTGAGACCATTTTTCCATTTCAGCAGTCTACACCTGAACCTGTTCAATCTTCTACAACTACGTATACTCCTCCTTTAACTTTAGTACCCACCATGGTTCAACCCATTTCTATTTCCCCTCCACCTTCCTCAAAATTACCACCTCCTCAATCTACACTTCCGCCTGCAGAGACTGCCACTCTTCCTACTTCCTCTACTGCCGAGCTGCCTCAATCATCTCCTGTTATAGAACCTCCAGCCTCCGAAATTCCCTCTCATCCTATGCTTACGAGATCGAGAACTGGTAATTTAAAGCCTAAACATATCCTGAGTATGAATCATTTTCATATTCCGGTTGATCCTACCTGCTATTCTCAGGCGGTGAAATCCAGTGCTTGGAGACAAGCTATGTCAGCTGAGTTTGAAGCCCTTCAACACCAAGGCACTTGGCAACTTGTTCCTCCGCATCCTTCACAAAATGTTCTGAGTTGTAAGTGGATTTACAAATCTAAATTGAATTCGGATGGCTCTATTGCTCGGCACAAGGCTCGGCTGGTTGCTCGTGGTTGTCATCAGCAGTATGGTCTAGATTATGAAGACACTTTTAGCCCGGTGGCTAAATTACCCACCATCCGGATTTTTCTCAAAGTTGCTGTAACACATCACTGGCAAATTCTTCAACTTGATGTGTCGAATGCTTTTCTTCATGGGCGGCTTCATGATACAGTGTTTATGACTCAGCCTCAAGGTTTCGTTGATCCATCTTTTCCGGATCACGTTTGCCTGTTAAAGAAGGCCATTTACGGCTTGAAGCAATCACCTCGAAAGTGGTTTGAAACTTTCTCTACTTATCTTCTAAATTTCGGCTTTACTCATAGTACTGCAGACCCCTCACTTCTTCTCTATTGTCGCAATTCTATTCATATTTACATACTGGTGTATGTTGATGATATTTTGTTAACTGGCAATCACAATCCAACAATAGAGAAGCTCCTGCTTGGGTTGTCCACCGAATTTCATATGAAAAACTTAGGCCAAGTGTCTTATTTTCTTGGTATACAAATTCTTCATACTTCTGATGGCTTGCACCTTTCCCAATCTTCGTATGCCCGTGATCTACTTACTCGCGCTGGCATGACTGAATGCAAACCGATCAGCTCTCCCATTCCAACCAAGGTGCTTTCATCCTCTGCTCATCTGCTGGTACCAGCTGATGCCGAACAATTCAGACATTTGGTTGGTTCGTTGCAATATCTAACCATTACTCGTCCTGATATCTCCTTTACTGTGAATAAACTGTGTCAACATATGCACCAACCCCTTGAAGATGACTTCAAACTTCTCAAACGATTGCTTCGTTACATTAAAGGAACTATTTTCTTCGGTCTTCCTGTTCGTTCCGGATCGCATGAACTCATAGCTTATTCTGATTCCGATTGGGCCGGTGACCCATCCAATCGCAAATCCACGTCTGGTTATTGTGCGTTCCTTGGTGACACACTTATTTCTTGGTTTGTCAAGAAACAGAAAACGGTGGCTCGCTCTTCCACCGAAGCAGAATATCGAGCTCTTGCCACTGCAGCAACAGATCTTATTTGGCTACGCCGTTTATTAGCTGAATTTCACATTTCCTCCACAAAGCCTACACTGCTGCTTTGTGATAATATTTCAGTAATTGCTTTGGCTCACAATCCCATTTTTCATGCTCGTACTAAGCATGTAGAAATTGACTTTCACTTCATTCGGGATTGTATTAAAAATCAGGTCTTGAAGATTGCTCATGTCTACACAGCTGATCAATTAGCAGATTTATTTACTAAATCTCTGTCTATTTCCCGGTTTACTTCTCTTCGAGACAAGCTCACACTTGCTGAAGCTCCGGTTAGCTTGCGGGGGCGTTTTAAGAAGGATCACCTTCTCTGACATTTCGCAAATCACGTTCTCCCTGCCAAATCACGTTCTCCCTGCCAAACGAACGTTTCCTGCTATTGGCCTCTAACGGACCAATCTGGTCCGTCCACGTGCTCTTTACTTTACAATGTAATCATGATGGCATGTAATATAAAAAGCATGCTACAGTAAAGAGAAAGGAATACAGAAGATGAAGTTTACTTCAGCTATTTTCTTCTTCATTTCTTCCTTGTAGTTTTCTCTGCTTTTATCCTTGCAGGTCGGCTCAAACGTCTGCAGGACTTCAACAATAATTTCTTTAAATACAAATCTATATAAGAATATGTTTTGTCTGAGAGGGTATGAAAAAGTCAAATGAATATTTAGTAATCACAACGCGTGTTGACTTTCAACATGAGCTGCAACTGGCAGCTTTGGACAGCTGCTTCAGTTGGCCAAATTTGATATGAATGACGCATGCTGTGTGTATAATGCCTAGAGCTTAGTTTACATAAATTAAAGAAAAATTTGATAAAAATGAACATTTGTATTTATAAATGAGCATATTACAAATTTTCAGGTTTTATATTTGGGCATTTTGCCGGCCTGTTTATCACCCTCACACAAATTCAATAAAAGAATTATATAATAAATTTGTTCTACAAATAGTACAATTGACAAATAGACAAATTAACAATCACGAATTAACCTTCCTGCAATTCAAACGAATCTCCCCATTGCTTCCTGTAAGCGGAGTAATAGCTCCCATCTTCGCCATAGCTGCAGCAAAGTCGCTGAAGAAAAGATTCCTGTTTTGGCTGTACTGCCTCACCAAAGCATCCTGAGTTCCATTATTGAAGAGCTCTTGATCTGAATGCAGCAGGCCTCGAGAGCCGAGCAAGTTCTGGTAGTATTCAGCTCCAAACTTGTTCGGGCTCTGTACGTCCAGCGGCGCCAAGTTGCTATCTCCGCCGGACGTTTGTGGGCAGTTTCCCTGTCGAAGGGTGGCAAAGCTGGGGTTGACGTTGTCGTCGTTGTAGATGCGAGAGCGAAAGAATTGGCACTGGGTCTGTCCTATGGTGTGTGCGCCGGAGAGCGCCGTCATGTCACGCGCAGTCAGACCCTTTCCGGCGAACATGGAGATGAGAGTGGAGAGGCTCGACGACGGGCCTGGGAGATCGCTGTTCGCCGAGCTTTGGCTGGCCGTGGTGGCGTCTCTTCGGCCGAGAGCTACAGTCCATTTAGGCCCGCCGAGCTTAACAACTCCATCGCGAGAAGCAAGAGCGAGAATGTCAGCACAGGACACCGTTGCTTTGCAGGAGGCCTCCACGCTCGACTTAATGGCATCAATGACTTCAAATCCTCTGGCTGAGTTTTGGTTAGGAAATGCATTCTTCTCGCCTGTAAATGTCGGGGTGTCGTCAAGCAGAATCGAACCATCGCAACCCTGAAATCAATATATTGATCAGTTACATTACATAAGATCGAAGATCGAAGTGATGTGGTTATATACATTAACGAAGCAGTCGTGGAAGAAGAGGCGGAGAATGGAGGCAGCCATGCGAGGCTCTTTCTTCACCGCTTTGGCCATGGCGGAGCGCACTATGGACTGCAAGTTTGGGCAAGTTGCAGCGTAGAAGTTTGAAGAGAGTTGAGCATCAGCAGAGAAAACCAGTAAGAGAAGAAGAGAGAGAGCAAGGAATGAGGTAATATGGGAGATGGAGGCCATGGCTGATCAAAGCTAGTAGTTTAGATTGGAAGAAGGTAGCTGAGATTTTTTGCTTGAGATGAGAAGATTGGAAGGTGTGGATTGATTCTTTATATAGAGATGGTGATTGAGTGGATATTATGATTGGCAATGGAAAGAGATAGGCGGGCTTTGTTGAATATTCAAACGAAGCTGCCCTGCAATTGCTGTTGATGAGGTCCATGTCGAAGGCTTCAACAAAAAGGTTTGAAAGGAACCTATGGCCCTTGCCCATATTATCAGAAGGAGATGGGGCTTTTTTTTTTGCCAGTTAAGCGTATCCAACGTGGATCACGCGGGAGGGAAATATTATGTAGACCAACTGGCCACAGCTTGATCCTCATTATATACGATTAGGATGGCAAAATGGATACCTAAATTTGGCTAAAAAAGTTGAATTCAAAACAGACCTGCTAACAACCCGAATATGACCCAATAATTGATGTTAGTAGAAAAATAACAAGTGTATGAACTTATTAATCATATATTTTAGAAAAATTAATAAAAAATGAGAGTTTAAGAAAACAAAAATTAAACATGTCATTTTCTGATCAAAATCGGGGTGGTGGGGCAACTCGAACCCAATATGTATAATAAACGAGGGTAAGAATGGATGACTCGAACCCAAATTTTCTAGTTGGATCCGAGTCGAGCTGTTGGGTCTGGTTATTTATTGACACCTCTATATATACCCAAACTTGTCATCCCATGTTTTGGGTCAGCTTTTTTTGGAAAGAGTTTTAATATGGATAGTAATTAGGCATAATATTATAATATTATTATATAAAATATACAATAATTATTATTGCAAGCTAGAATATACACAACGATACAATTAGAATATTTCGTCTCAGCGTTGTACGAACATCCAACATACAAGCAGAAGAAAAAGAAAACACTAAAATTTTTACGTGGAAACCTTGGTACAGGGAAAAACCATAGGGCCATGCTTAGTCAAAATAATTCCACCAAGGTTAGAATAAATTACAAGTGACTGACCCGTCCTTGAAATTGAGGACGATCGAATTAGAATAATCAACCATCGGGTTGAAATCCAATTACGAACAAAGATCAGAAATCTGGTGACGTTAGGTGGTCGGGCAAAAATTCAGCTTCAATTGACGATTGAGCGAAAGTCCAACGTCAATCGACGGTCAGGCAAAAGTCTAGCATTAGTTGGCGGCCGTGAGGAAGTTCAACATCAATTGACGGTCGGGTGGAAGTCTAGCATCAGTCGGCGGATGGGAAAAAGTCCGACGATGGTCGAACAAGAGTCTGGTGGCAAGAAAATTCTTGTTTCTCCTTCTCTTCCATGCTTCAGTCCCTTTCAATGTGAAATGGGTTGTCTTTTTATAGTTTTCTGAAAGTTGCATGATTAGTAAATAGAAGATTAAAGGTAAGATGGCAGTGGTTTGAATGGACGGCCAATATTGACTCCCTTGATCTTAAACTGTCTACTGAGCATTTTAATGTCTTAATGATATCAAAATTTGATGGTTTTGGGCTCGTTGGATTCGTCACGTCGAGCCGCTCGATTTGATTATAAGCATGTTATGTTTGGAAACTGTTTGGTAATATAAATTATGGTTTGAACCTTCCAAATGTGTTTCAGGTCTTTGATTTGGACACATTTGAGATCTGATTGAGTTGAATTTGATGTAGTTGAGTTCACATTTTCGAGATGTTCAGTTTGATTGTAAGTTTGTCAAAATCGGTGTTCATATGCCCATATTTAATTTTTGAAGCTCCTGACTTGATTTTACCTCAATATTCGTGTCTAATTAAGATAATTTTTTGATGATGTATCAATTATATACATTAAATAAATATTAAATGAATTTATGTAATGATAAATTAATTTCTTTTTATAAAAAATTGATTTAAATTCATTACATTTCTTAAACTCAATAGACGAAATAATAATAATTAAATTTATGATAATTGATTCTATTATAAAAGAAATAAAAATAAATATTAGAACAACATAAAAAATATTAGGAGAAAAAGAAAAATAAAATTAACGTTAACCAACCATAAAGTTATTAAAATAATATTTTAAAGGCAACCATAGAAATTGGACTTATTGAACTGTTCAACTCTTACAATTATTGCAACAACTAACGGTTCGTATTCTTTCAATATAAAAATTATTCTGAAATTAATGTAATATAATTTTTTATATAGCATTAATATTAAAATTAATTCAATAATTTTCAAAATTGTAATAATGTAAATTATATAAAAATATTTTGACACATTTTTTCATATGAAATAATAGATTTTTTAATTTTTACTCGGAGTAGTGAAGATTAATGAATATTATAAAATATAAGAAAATAGAGCGTGACAAGAAAAAATAAAATTAATGTTAATTAGAAATTTAGTTATTAAAGTGATATATTTTAAAATAAAAAAGAGGCACTTAACTTGCATTATTTATATAATATATTCTAAACTTTAGAGGTTTTTGCTTGGACCGTTTGTAAAACTTAAATCAAAAGGTGATAATCCTGGTTTTAGGGGCTGTTTGGTTGTATGTATTTACTATTTAGGGTGTAAGTGATCCAAATGTCTGGGGTTTTAAAATTTTTATTGTTGGTTTGAAGTAAAATGTAGCGCGTAAAAAGAGTGCATTTCAAATGCCTCGGGTAGTGCATTTTAATTATATTTGGATTTCTTCAGATTTGAGCGATGTCCAAATACATTGCAAATGCATCACTATTGCAATTTCCACCGTCGGCCGCCGCCATCACCATCCGCCACTTCGAGCCACCACTGTCAGTTATCTGCACTCCTACCAGCCGCCTCTCGAGCCGATCGCCACCACTGCATGGAACTAATTTTAATTTTTGTACAAAAAATTTGTTTTAAAAAACAGTAAGAAAGCCGTCCCAAAAGAAGCCTAAGATAATGCAGTTTTTTATAAAGTACACAAGAATCATTCAAGAATTTAGTAAATTAAAGAATAGATACAAAACGGCGACCGGACTACCAAAATTAGGGCATATGAGAGGAGTTGGAAATTACCTAAGACCGAGCAACCGAATGGCAACCCATAATTTGTCGGTGATGACTGATTCAGCAACGGGAATGGGTTCGACGTCAACGCTGGTGGATTCGGTCGTGGATGGAAATTTGGAGGTGACGACGAACATTTCGTCGAGCGAACGAGCAGTCGATTGAGCAAGCACGGTTGAATGACTAGGTTAGGGCATATGGGGGGAGGAATATAATGCCGGTTTTAGCGGCGGTTAAATCCGCTGTTATAATAATAACATAGCATCGGTTAAAACCGCTGCCTATACCCTTCTATAGCACCGGTTTTCTGACCGCTGCTGTTAAAGACTGTGAAAACTTCAGTTTTTTTATAGTGAGTTAATTATAAACCTACTAGAGAGAAAATAATTTTTTGAAAATTATCCTAAAAATCAACTTCCTAACACAAAATTTATTGAAAGTATTAAAAAGCATCATCTAAACAAAGAATTGCCGTAGCAATTTGAAAAGCAAAGCGTTATAAGAACTCTCTCAAACAAAGCTTTAATGCCGCTGACTTCTCCTCTTGTTATGAACCCGAAACAACACAGTACTAGTTGTTATGGACAGGTCTTCTCCTACCTATGGAGTATGCCGTTGATCATGTCGAGATCTTAACAGCCTTCTCGGACTTAATCAAATTTCTTGTTTTGTACTGTAATCTTTATTAGGTACTTAGACCTATTGTATGATCTGAAGACTCAAAATAATAAACTGTAGGTGTAATGCAAGAAAAATATGAATATAATGTGATTTTTAATTTTTTAATTATATAATTTATCTTTTTATATAACAAGTCTATCAAAAATAAAATTAAAATCGTCGATGTCGGTCCCAAGCTCGGATAAAAAAAGGTTGAGGGCTTTTTAAGAATTTATAATTTGTGCCACTACTTAAAAAAATTTCTGGCTCCGCCCCTGATTGTATCTCATGTAAAGTTCAATCAAGGAAACTATCTCTGGGGATTTCCTATATAAACACAGTAATAAATATTTGAGTGAAAATAATTTAATAATATTGGTTGGAGACTTTTAGTTCCTTGTCTTTTTTTTTCTCGGATATTGAATTCTGATTTGGTTGGTGTAAGCTTTCATGCCCGGAGTTCGGACGTAACTTTTTATCCGAAGTACAATCACACGATGATATCTGTATTTTTAACTCTTGTGCGCATTCTATGTAAAAAAAATCACATCTTCACATGATTGGAGCCCGGACTTCGCATGTAATAATTTTTTCATTAATGAAATGTTGTGTGGAGAAGGTGAAATTATTTTGTACAGATAAGCACTATAAAAAAATCACCGATTACCGACAGTAATTCCGACAGTTAAACCGGTCGTGTGACCGCATGTTTCAATCTGCGGTTTAACCGACGGTTTTTAATAATAAACTGCCAGATAGGCCGCCGATAAATTGATGTTAACCACCCGAACTCTTAGCCAACGGAAAATGACCGCGCAATTTATTTCCTACACGGTTTATACCGGTAGTTAATAAACAGCCGGTATTTTTAAAACCCGCCGGAAAGTACCGCTAGTAATTGGAAATTTTTCTGTAGTGAAGGATGCCATCCGGAGGCGAATCAGAATGTGCCACATCACTTTTTGCTATATACCGCGGCTGTGTATTGGATGACATAGCATGTTTTGATTTTCCTCCAGACGGTGCGGTGTCCGCATAGAATACTTTCTCCTAGAGAAAAGAGCACGGTTGGTGTAAGCCTTCATGTACGTAATTATGACGTAGCTTTTTATTTGAAGTCCAACCACATGAAGATATGTGTATTTTTTTTTTCTCTCATACACATTCTATGTAAAAAAAAAATTCACATCTTCACGTCCGGACGTCGATCTCCGCATGTAATAATTTTCCGTCAATGGAACGTTGTGTCTGGAGAACGTGAAATTAATATGTATGGATATACCGTCCGGATGCGAATTAGAACGCGTCAAGTCACTTTTAGCTATGTACAGCGGCTGTGTACCGCTGTGTACAGGATAATATAGTGTATTTTGATTCATCTCTAAACAATCTGGTGTCCGCACAAAATAATTTCTCAAAGAGAAAATAGAGCGTGTTGTCAACTCTATAAGCTATCCACGATTTACTGCAATGTCACATAGTTCACGAAAATTAAACATAAATTTGATAAATGAGATTATTACAATTTCTCTGGCATAATCCCGAACATTTTGCTCGCCAATGTATCACCCCCACACAATTTTAGTAAAAAATTTCCATTACATAATCACTAATCAGGAGTTCACCTTCCTGCAATTCAAACGTATTTCTCCATCACTTCCGGTAAGCGGAGTAATAGCCCCCAACTTTATCATAGCAGCAGCAAAGTCGCTGAAGAAAAGATCCCTGTTTTGGCTGTATTGCCACACCAAACCATCCTGAGTTCCATTACTGAAGAGCTCCTGATCTGAATGCAACAGGCCTTGATAGCCGAGCAAGTTCTTGTAGTACTCAGATCCGAACCTATTCGGGCTGTGCAAGTCGAGTGGTGCCAAGTTGGTATCTCCGCCGGAACGCGGGCAGTTTCCTTGTCGGAGGGTGGCAAAGCTGGGGTCGGTGTTGTTGTCGTTGTAGATGTGAGGGCGGAAGAACTGGCACTGGGCTTGCCCTATGGTATGGGCTCCTGAGAGCGCCGTCATGTCGCGTGCGTTCAGACCCTTTGCGGCGAACTTGGAGATGAGGGTGGAAAGGGACGATGATGGTGCTGGGAGATCGTTGTTCGCCGTGCTTTGGCTGGCCGAGGTGGCGTCCCTCCGGCCAAGAGCCACCGTCCATTTTGGCCCTCCCAACTGCACATCGTTAAGCAACTTTTATATAAACCCTAAGGGGATGTCGGATTGGATTGAACTTATTTTAAACCTCTCGTTGGAGATTTAAAATTGAAGGAACAATATTAAGTAACATCAATACATCTGTTATAAATTTGAGATGATCCTATGCTAAATAATCAATCATATATTTAATTAATTTGCTTAATTACAGATATTTTAAATTATATTAATCAAAACAATCTTGGGTTTGCTTTTCATCTTTTGTTTTTCGTCGTTGTTGTTCGGCTTCGTTGCTTCGCAGGAGGTGTAGAGATTGCACGAGTCGTGCTTCTTCTTTGCTGCTCGCCTTCAATCCTTCAACGACGTTCCCTTCCTGTCGGATCGAAAGTTAGAACATTTCGATCGGAAGCTTGCTCGCTCGCTGTGAAGGTAACTTTCTTCCTTCCGCGCATTTCTTTGGCCAAATCTCGATAATCCCCCGAAGAATGGGATTAGGATTTATCATGATTTATGCCGTAAATCCGTAAATCCCGGATTTATGGATTTGCAAGATTTACAGACGTGCGGAATGCGTTTGACTGAATTTCGTTAAATCCTACTTAAAACTACAGCCAAATCTGATACCAAACGCCCCCTAAATCTAACAATGAGAGATTTATGATGTACAAAATATACCTTAATAACACCATCGCGAGAAGCAAGAGCGAGAATGTCGGCACAGGACACCGTTGCTTCGCAGGAAGCCTCGACGCTGGACTTTATGGCATCAATGACCTCAAATCCTCTCGCTGATTTTTTGTTTGGGAATGCGTTCTTCTCTCCTGTAAACGTCGGGCTGTCGTCAAGAAGAATCGAACCATCGCAACCCTGAAATAATCAGTTACATTTTAATTTGTAAGTAATAATCATCCACGTATATGTCAAAAGGAGGTACGTTGATCATACGTTAACGAAGCAGTCGTGAAAGAACAACCGGAGAACTGAGGCCGCCATGCGCGGCTCGTTGCTCACCGCTTGCGCCATAGCAGAGCGCACAATGGCTTGCAAGTTCGGGCAAGTTTCATCGTAGAAGTTTGCAGAGAGCTGGGCTTTAGCAGAGAAAGAAAGCAAGGATAGAAGAGAGAGAACAAGGAATAAGCTAGCAATATTGGACATGGAGGCCATGGCTATATATAAATAGAAGTACTTGCAGGCTGAAATAAGAGTGAAAGAAGCTTGTCGATGTTGTTTGCTTGTGATGATGAGAGCTTTGCTTAGCTATGGGGTCTTTATATATGGATACAGTGATTGGTGGCATGGTGAAGGAACACTAAAGGAAGTAAACAGGGCGGGCTTTGCTGAATATTCAAAAGCTTATCGACGTTGAAGCTGCACTGCATGCATTTTTGTTGAGGGAGTCAATGAGGAAGGCTTCAATATATTCGCCCGGGTTGTTGGAGGACCAAGCCATCCAAATTAATTTGTTCGTTAATATCAATCATTCATAATTGAATTGAGATAAAAAATGTAAATAAATGTATTTTAATATTGTTCACTAGGATATCTCTTTCCAATAATAATAATAATAATATTACACATTAGGAAATACAAAAAAAAAATTAATAATTATTTTGTACTCAATTTTATGCAAGAGTGATTGAGCTTGAGGTCCTTGTACGAGCCTCTTTATTTAACAAGTCAAACTTGAGCAAGGCCTTAAATTGGGCTGGTCACTTGATAGTAACTTTTTTTTTAAAAACAAATAGGTGCAAATATGTCCAATTTCATTCCAAAATTGAAAGGTTACAAGAAATTATAATAGTCTTGCAAGAAAAACAAAACTTACAAAATTAAAAGAAAAGAAAAGAAAAATTCTAAAAGAAAAACTAAGCAATCTAAACAAAACTCCATATAGAAGGAGAAAAATAAACCCAAAAAAACAAAAAAGACTAGGAAAACTAGTCCTTAACAAGAAATGTTCAAAATGAATCAGCAATGGAAATTAATTCCAGCTCAACATGTCAAATTACCAACATAAAAACAACTCCGATAACCAGCTACTAGAATAATGATAAATAAATAAACTTGCAACCAAGTTATCCAATAGCACCAGAAGACTCCAACTCGAAGCAAACCAACCAACAAAGTGATAAAATTCAAAACCATAATCAAAACTGGTGCGCCCAAGACCTGAAAAGGAGAAACAGGATGACGTAGGTAGTCGGTAGAGGAAGTTACCTGTAGTGAAACAAATAGAACAGTAAAACCAAACTAAAGCAAGAGCTTGCTAAGCAGCAAACGGAAGTATGTATATTCTTTTTTACCGAAGAACTAAAGCAATACAACTTTTGTATAAAGAAGAAAGCTAAAAGTAGCAACTCATAACAGAAAGTTGCATAGTACTAAAAGGGAAATGTGGGTAGTGGAGATTCAGCTAGTAAAGCAATACTAAGACTAAGCATAACGGAAAGATAAGATACTCCCTGCGGTTAAGCTGATCCGCACATGTAAGATGATCCGCATCAGGACTCCCCCGCCGAGGAAGGGTCTACTGTCTCAGCAAAAACAGTCGTGGTCGCCTCGTCTGCGGGATAATAAGAATGAATATCGGTCACATTGAAAGTAGAAGTCGTACCAAATTCAGGAGGTAAATCTATGACGTAAGCGTTGTCATTGATCTTTTGCAATATGGGGAAAGGGCCAACTTTGCGGCGACCCAATTTAGAATATGTGCCGGTAGGTAAGCGCTCCCGTCGAATGCGAACCATAACTAGTTCACCTGTTTTAAAAATTCGTTCCCGACGATGTGAATCTGCAGCCAATTTATAGTTCTCATTTGAAGATAGTAGATTAAGCCTTATGTTCTGTAACATTTGAGAGAATTGATCAACTAACATAGCTACCTGCCGGTTATGGAACTTCAGAAGGATTTCAACGTCAAATGTATGGTTAGGTGCCTTGGTGTACACAACATGAAATGGAGAAGCACCAGTTGATCGGTTGGACATGCTATTGTAAGTGAACTCCGCTTGGCTCAAAAGTTCATCCCATTGCCGAGGCTGCTCTTGCACTAAGCACCTCAAGATGTTCCCCAGAGTGCGGTTTACAACTTCAGTCTGCCCGTCCGTTTGTGGGTGATATGCGGAGCTTAAATTAATATCAGTTTTAAGCCTCTTCCATAATTCACGCCAAAAATGGATAATAAATTTAACATCCATGTCAGAGGTCAAGCTACGAGGAATGCCATGCAATCGTACAATCTCATTAAAAAACAAGCGGGCAATGTTGAGGGCGTCACAAGTTTTTTTGCAAGCGATAAAGTGCGCCATTTTATAGAATCTATCTACAACTACCATGATAGAATCATTACCTCGTTTTGTTCGTGGCAAACCGAGGACAAAATCCAGACTGAGATCCTCCCATATGGTCTCTGGAACAGGAAGTGGCAAATATAAGCCGGTGTTGTGACGCCCCAGGCATCCATAGTGAAAGGATTCGTCGACAGTCTTGATCAATAAATCCATTCCTGCTCCCTTGCTCGGACCTGAAATTGTTAACCACATATAATGAGCTTACAAAGCCCAGCAGGTCACCTAATACCTATAACTGAAATCAAAGCACGGCGATGCTATCAATATGCATGTCAATCTATCAATCTGAATCAGTCAATGGTCAATGAGTCTATGCAGTGGAAATCAAATCAGTAGTCGATGCAATCCGAAAATCAATAGTCAATAAAACCAGTCAATGCAGCGGCAGGCAAATCAATCATTTCAATTCAATCAATCAATATCCGTCAATCAAATCAATACGGTCAAATCAATGAAATCAGTCGAGAAAAGCAATACGGAACAATGAATCTATACGACAGTCAATACGGTACAGAAACAGTAGGCAGTAGTACGATGTCCATGTTCATGCTATCAATACAGTATCTATATCTATCAATGTCCATATCAATGCTCAGTAGTATCAATGTTCAGTAGTCAATCGATGAAATCAGTGAAATCGTACGATACAGTAAACCCGATCAAATCCGTAAAATCCGTAAATCAATACATTAAACATGCAATCAATACGATAATACTGAACAATGTATAATCAATGGTCATGTTGCTGTTGTAGAATTCATATTGCTGTTGTAGATATCAATACATTGGTTCTATGAAAAGAGTCGTCACTCTATTGCCCGTCGGCATATAATCTCCTTATGACTCCCATCGTTATATCCATGATCCATGATCTATGATTTAAAGGAAAGCCCGTCAGCCCACCATCCTGTACAGGTATCATCTCCAACCAATGTTCAACCAGGTTATACGTGTTTCAGTATCAATAAGCAATCAATAATCAATATTAGAGCAATCATATCAATAATCATAGGCATATCGATTCAATCTATCAATTTCAGTCAAATCAGGAATCATACAAAAAAAATCGGGCAGAGTAACAGTAGTCTATCGAATTTACACAAAAATCCTGCAAAAAGACAAATTCTGAATTTCTCCAAATTACAACAGAATAACCACGGCATCAATGCAAGACTATCAATCTATAGAATCCAAATCAAATCAAGTCCTGATAATTTTCTATTCAATTAAAATCGCGTAGAATCAATTCCGACCGATAAAATCATCGTAGAAAATAGTCAAATCGTGTACAATATTCATATCTATAACATACTAAAAGTTGTGCGGTGAAAGTCGTGTCAATACAAAATCAGGTCAAAAGTTCGACTACAAAAACACAAAACAGTGCACAACTCGATCAAAATACAAAATCTTCGAAAACAGAAATAGGGTTCGGAGTCCTTACAGCGAGACAAACAAATCTTCTAACAGCGTCGTCGGACGAAAAGCGCTCCACGGGCTCCAAAACCAAGCTTCCTCTTCTCTTTCCTTCTCTTTCTCT